ACTGGGCTGTGGCCGAGGCGCCAAGGCAGACCAGACTTCGGTGCTGGTGACACTGGGGCCGGATGGTTCTCCGGGATGGGGCCGTCCTGGGCTCTGCAGGGCGCTGAGCAGCGTCCCTGCCTCCACCCACCCCATGCCAGGAGCAGCCTTGCCCCAGTTGCGACAACCACAGATGTCCCCAGACATCGCCCAGCGTCCTCTGGGGGGCAGGATCACCCCTGGGTGAGACCCACTGAGCTGGATGAACAAGACAGTGCCCATCCCAGAGGTCGCAGGGCCGGGCGGGGAGGCGATGGGCGCTCTGGAGGTGGCGTCGCACTTCACTCAGCCGTCTCAGAATGTTGCGTGTTGAGCGAGTGACCGACCGAACCTCAAGTCTGCCCCATGAGGGGCGGCTTTGATTTTTAATTTTTTTTCTTTTATTTTTAGAGACAGGGTCTCACTCTGTTGCCCAGGCTGGAGTGCAGTGGTGCGATCACAGCTCACTGCAGCCTCCAACTCCTGGGCTCAAGCGATCCTCCTGCCTCAGCCTCAGCAGTAGCTGGGACTACAGGCGCCACCACACCCAGCTCATTTTTGTATTTTTCGTAAAGACGGGATCTTGCTATGTTGCCCAGGTCTCAAGTGATCCTCCCGCCTTGGCCTCCCTAAGTGCCGGGATCACAGGCATGAGCCACCATGCCTGGCCAGCCAAGGGCGGCTTTTTATATCCTCGTTTTGAACTCAGTCCCACCAGACACTGGTCACCCCCACTTTCCAGTTGCACAAGTAGGGCATGGAAGGTCAGGAGTGGGGCTGCCCTGAGGGCACGTGGCGGGGCTGGAATTCAAGCCACCTCCGTTCCTGGCGTGGCTCTGTTTCGGGGGGCGAGGTGTCTGTGATAGGCGACTGGCAGGCCTGCTGTGTTTGGTGAAAGGTCAACCACGGGCTCTTCATGGTGGGAGGGAGGGGGCGGGGCTGATCTTTCGTGTAGCTGTCATCGCAGAAAGTGCCATTTACTTCTGGGCGGTACCCGCAGGTCAGTGAGTCGGGCGTTCATCGGCCTCACGTGGCGGGTATCCACGGCCGCAGCAACGACGGGGCTTACTCCCTGGTCCTGGCGGGCGGCTACGAGGACGACGTGGTGAGTGTTATGTGCGGGGTTGGGGAGGTTGCTTTACTTTTAAATTGTGATAAAATACACATAACATACAATGTGCCATCCTAACCATTTTTAAATGCACAGCTCAGTGGCATTAAGTCTGCGCATGTGGTCGTGCAACCGTCCCTACCCTCCACTTCCAGAACTTTCTCACCTTCCCAAACTGAAGCTCCATCCCCATGAAACACTCACTCCCCACCCGTCCCCAGCCCCTGGCACCCACCATCTACTTCCTGTCTCTGTGGATCTGACGCCTCTAGGGACCTCCTGTGAGTGGAGTCACACAGGATGTGTCCTTCTGTGTCTGGCGTCTCTCACTGAGCACAGTGTCCTCAGGGTTCATCCAAATTGCAGCCTGTGTCTGAATTTCATTCCTTTGCATGGCCGGATAACATTCCGTTGCGAGGACGGACCACATTGTGTTCACCCACTCATCCACCCGTGGTGCCTCTTGGCCGCTACGAACGTGCGTGTAGAATCCTCCTCACGTCCCTCTTTCAGTTCCTTGAGTCTGTACAGTATGATCCGGAAGTGGAGTTGCTGGATCATGTGGTCATCGTGTGTCAGTTTCTCGAGGACCCACCACACTGGTTCCACAGCGCCTGCGCCAGTTTCCCGGTCCCGCCAACAGCGCACAAGGGTCTGGTCTCTCCGCGTCCCCGCCAACACCTGTTGCTCTGTGTCTCGGGCAGTGGCCAGCCTGGCGGGGCTCGTGTTCCGCGCAGTCTCTCTTCTCCTCTGCGGAGGGCTCACCCAGCCTTCTCATCTGTTTCAGGACAATGGGAATTCTTTCACATACACAGGTAGCGGTGGTCGAGATCTTTCCGGCAACAAGCGAACTGCAGAACAGTCTTGCGATCAGAAACTCACCAACACCAACAGGTTCGTGGGAAACCATTTTCTCGTTTCTCCACCGACAGGTTTCTCTAAGCTGTCGGTTCCGTGTTGGGCGTCCTGTCCGGCACGTGGTAGTCTGTTAACGTAGAGACATTCTGTTCTTCTCTTCTCTGTACTAAAGATGTCATTCAGATGGGTTAAATAAAGCAAACATTTTCTCCAAAAGGCCAGTTAGAATAATAAGTATTTGCAGCTCTGAGGGCCACACGGTCTCTGTTGCAGCTGCTCAGCTCTGTGTCGTAGCATAAAAGCAGCCATGGACCGTGTGGACGTGAATGAGCATGGCTGTGTTCTGATAAAGCTTTATTTGCAAAACTAGGTGGTGGGCCATAGTTCGCTTGAACCCCTGGTTGCAGGATGGGGATGGACTTTCTCAGCATAAAAGGGCACCATAAAGCCCAAAGGGACTGAGAGATTTGATCTAAATATTATAAACATATTGCAACAGCAAATCCTATAAATAAAACTAAAAGGCAGATGACTACTTATGAGGAAAGCTTGCAACCTGGCACATGACAGTTATGTCTTTACTATATAAAGAGCTGTTGCAAATCAACAAGAAAAACTCTCATAGAAGAAGCAAAAGACATGCAGATATTCACAGAAATGCAAATGGCCAGTGACCATGATAAATTGTTCAGCTCTAGGAACCAAATGCAAATTGAGAAACAATGGGGAGATGCTACTTATTTCCCCTGTTAAGTTGGCCAAAAATTCTAAAATATCACGAAATGCCAGGAAATAGACTAGTTTTCCACTGTTGGTAGAAATACGAACTGGAACCATCTTTTTGGAAAGCTTTTGCCTATATGTATGAAGAGCCTTAAGTGTTCTATTCACGACCCTATAATTCCATTTTGAAAAATGTGTTTGGGAGACGTTAAAAGTAATATTTATCATACAATCATTTAAAGCAGGCAGAAAAAAATCAGGAAATAGTAACTAAATATCTACAAAAAGGAAGGGTTGGTTATATATTTATTTATCTAGAAGAATACTTCAATTTTAGTAGCTGTTAAAAATCATGTTTTCAGAAAATATTTAATGCTATGGGGAACTACTCATTTATCATATTACATGATGAAATCTGGACACAAAATTCTGTGAAATCCCAGTTTACGAAAGTGCTGTTTTGCCCATAGACGGCAGTGCACGGTTTTTTCCCCTCTCAAAGGCAATGACAAAAATGGCATCGTAGTGGCAGTGGTGAGTCTGACCCTGGCCTGGTCGGCCCTAGCCCTTGGGGAAGGTCTTGACGGGACAGACCTCTGGCAGCCTGTGTCCCTTCCTGTGTGCCTCCTCGGTTTTCTCGAAGACAGCTTCGCCATGTGGCGTGTTAGTCTCTCGTGGCTACAGTAATGAAATACCACAGGCAGAGTGGTTTAAAACAAAAGATGTTTATCCTCTCATGGATCTGGTGGCCAGAGGTCTGAACAAGGTGTGGCAGGGCTGAGGCCCTCTGAAGCCTCCAGGGGAGGCTCCTTCCTGCCTCTTCCAACTTTGGATTGTAGCCGGCAACCCTTGGCGTTCCTTGGCTTGTAGCTGTGACACTGCATCTCTGTCTCCGTCCTCGTGTGGCCTCCTGCCCTCTGTATTTGTGTCTCTGTTCTCTTCTTATAAGGACACCAGTTACTAGATTGAAGGCTCCCCAATCCAGTATAACTTCATTGGAATTATTTTTAAATTAGGGACAGGGTCTTACTCTGTCACCCAGGCCGGAGTGCAGCGGCGTGATCCTAGCTCACTGCAGCCTCCAACTTGTGGGCTCAAGCGATCCTCCTGCCTCAGCCTCCCGCGTGCTGGGTCCTTGTCATTGGAACTTGATTGCACAGACCTTATTTCTAAAGAAGGCCACGTTCAGATGCTGGGGCTGAGGCTTGAGCACGTCTCTTTGGAGGATGTGTCCCAGCGTATAACACGTGGGGCCCCGCTCTCCCCGCAGGGCGCTGGCTCTCAACTGCTTTGCCCCCATCAACGACAAGAAGGGGGCCGAGGCCAAGGACTGGCGGTCGGGGAAGCCGGTCAGGGTTGTGCGCAACGTCAAAGGTGGCAAGAACAGCAAGTACGCGCCCGCCGAGGGCAACCGGTACGACGGCATCTACAAGGTGAGCCGGGCTCGATGCCGAGTCCCCCGCCGGGGCTGCTTGTGACCGCCGGCATCACCGCCCCCACTCTGCTCCCCACAGGTCGTGAAGTACTGGCCAGAGAAGGGGAAGTCCGGGTTTCTGGTGTGGCGCTACCTGCTGCGGAGGGACGACGACGAGCCCGGGCCCTGGACGAAGGAGGGGAAGGACCGGATCAAGAGGCTGGGGCTGACCATGCAGGTGCGTGCGGGCCGCGCCGTGCAGGCTTCCTGGTTTCTCTGTCGTCCAGAACGACTTCCTGGCTCCCAGCTCCCAGCGGGCCGCGCCTCGCTGGCCGTCACGTATACATGCTGCAGCCGGGGGGCGTTTTGTGTGCAGTGACATTGGCATCTCTGCCTGTCGCCATTTTTAGAGTTTAAAGCCAGACTTGCTCCTCCTAGGGTAGATCAGCCTGGCTCGGGGCCCCTCCTGTCGGTACGGGTCTTCTTTCCTCGACTCCTCCAAGAAAAAGCAGAAACCAGCAAAACCGGTCGCGTCCGGAGAGGTGTAGGTGGGAAGATGAGGAGACATAACCCCCTGCGTCCTCCCTCCCTCTCGCCACTGGAGCAGCTCTCTGCACTGTAATTAGGGTGTTTTCTGCTTGTTAAGGGACTGGCTTTACAGCAGATAAGTCGTTGGGGGACTATTTCAGGAATCCTAATTGCTGTTGAGAGGCTGCTGGTGTCTGCCCCCCGGGGTCACCGAGGGCTGTCTTTGGAGCAGGTTTTAGCAGTGGGGAGTTTCAGAAGCCGAGGATGTGGGGACACGGCGGCAAGGGGGAGGCGGCGCAGCAGCGGAGGGTGAAGCAGGGTTTTCGTTCCCGACTCCCGTCTTCCTGGCAACCTAAGGCTGCTGCAGGAGGGTGACGATCTCCTGGCGAGGCGCCACGCTCAGGCGTGACTGCAGGTGCTGCAGAGGTGGGGCGATTGTCACATGATGCCCCCGAGGACAGAGGAGCCAGAGAGCCCTCGGAACTGGGGTTTGGCGGTGGTTTGTAAATGAAGTTTTACTGGGATCCAGCCACGCCTGTTCATTCAGGTGTCCTTGGTGCTCCGCTGTGACAACTGAGTGGTGGGGACCCACAGGGCTGGACGTTGCTACCGCCTGGGCCCTTGGAACGGAAGTTTGCCTGCCCTCATCTGAATCCTAAAGATGCTGGCATCTCATTCGTTGGTCGTGGTGGTGACCAGCTTGCTTTCGTGCTCACCTGGACGGCAGATGGAGGTTGGCAGGGCCATCTGCTGTTCGTCGTGGTGATGAGACAGCATTAGCTCTTGCTTGAGGCTGTACGGTTGAGTGCTCCGAGGACGAGGCAGTCCCCTTATCCACGGGACAGGTTCCAAGGCCCCCGGTGGGTGCCTGAAACTGCGGGTCACATACATGACTTTTTCTAGACGTATACACCTGTGACAAAGTTTAATTTCTTCGTTAGGCACAGCAAGAGATCAATAACTTCTCTTCGGTATAACCAAATTGCCAACGTCACTACTCATATGCTTTGGGGAGCCTCTTTTAAAAATTTTTTAAGAGTCAGGTTCGTGCTCTGTCGCCAGGCTGCAGTGCAGTGGCGTCGTCACAGCTCACTGCAGCCTCCAACCCCCGGGCTCAAGAGATCCTCCAGCCTCAGCCTTTGGAGCAGCTGGGGCTTCAGCCACCGCGCAGGCTCAGGGCGACTGCCAAGTAAAAGAAGCGTATTTGAGCACAAGTTCTGTGATACCACGGCGGTCGATCTGATGGCTGCCAAGTGACTCTCAGCTGGGCAGCACAGACAGTGTGGATGTGCCGGACAAAGGGATGACTCCGGTTTCGCTGGGACACAGTGGGACAGCACGAGATTTCATCACAGTACTCAGAACCAAGCGCAATTTAAAACATTCGGGTTATTTCTGGAATTTTCCATTTTAATGTTTTTGGTGGACCGTGGGTAAGGGGGAGGGCCTGTCGTGTGCGCTTTGGGGGCATCAGGGAGCAGGTGCGTTTGAGCAGCCAGACCGGGGGAGGGCTCGGGAGAAAAGCATGCAGTGGAAGACGGGCCTGGGCAGCGGGTGGCCCGTCCCTCACGGCGGGTCCTCTGCCCTGCAGTATCCAGAAGGCTACTTGGAAGCCCTGGCCAACAGGGAGAAGGAGAAGGAGAACAGGAAGAGGGACGTGGAGGAGGACGAGGAGGAGGAGGAGGCAGAGGCGCGGGAGCAGGCCAGCCTCAGGTCCACCAGGCCGGGCAAGGGCAAGTGGAAGCGGAAGTCGGCAGGTGGGTGTCTTGGCAGTGGCCCGTCTGCGGCCCCGCGCACAGCCCCCCGGCTGCCGGCTCCGCTCACCCGCTCTGCTCTCTCCCAGGAGGCGGCCCGGGCAGGGCCGGGTCCCCGCGCCGCATGCCCAAGAAAACCAGGGTGGAGCCCTATACCCTCACTCCGCAGCAGAACAGCCTCATCAAGGAGGACAAGAGCAACGCCCGGCTGTGGACCGAGGTCCTCAAGGCGCTCAAGGACGGCCCGGTGAGCGCGGGTGGCGGGGCTGTCTGGTGTCGCTCTTGCCCCAGGCCGGAGTGCAGCCATCACATACGTGATGGAACATTCACCATCGTGACCCTTTTAGGTGCGCGGGTCTCTGGCATGGAGCACACCCGCACTGCTGCGCAACCATCGCCACCCTCCATCTCCAGAACTTTCTCTTCCTCCCAAACTGAGATTCTGTCCCCATGAAACACTCACTCCCCACCCCCTCCCCAGCCCCTGGCACCCACCACTCTACTTCCTGTCTCTGTGGATCTGCCTGTTCTGGACGATTCACACAAACGGAGTCTCGCACTGTGTGTCCTTCTGTGTCTGGCGTCTCTCACTGAGCACGACGTCCTCAAGGTCCCTCCACGCTGTGGCCTGTGTCAGAATTCCCTCCCTTTTTGTGGCTGCGTGATGTTCCAGCGTGTGGACGGACCACACTGTGTGTGTTTATTGATCTAAGGGACACTCAGGTTGTTTCCGCCTTTCGGCCGCTGTGGCTGTGACCGTGGTGTGCGAATCTCCCTCTCGACTTTGTTCCCAGGCGTGGGAAATGCCAGATCACGTGATGGTTCCACGTTGAGGTTTTTGAGACCCCACCAAACCTGGGGTGTCTCACGGCGATGCTCTTGCCCTCGCGGCAGGTGACACTGACGGGTCACTGCAAGCGAGCGGGTCCGTGCCGGTCTCACCCCGCCCCTCCCCCAGTTCCAGGCGTTCCTGAGCAAGGTGGGAGAGGCGTTCCAGTGCATCTGCTGCCAGGAGCTGGTGTTCCGGCCCGTCACGACCGTGTGCCAGCACAACGTGTGCAAGGTGAGCGGAGCCGCGCTTCCCGCGCAGCGACAGTGGCGGGGGCCAAGGTGGAAGGTTCCGGAAGGATGACCTGACCTCCCGCTCCCACGTGAGGTTCTGTGCTTCGCTCTGCTCACTCTGTGGCCTTTCTGGGCATCTTCCGTCACACCCTCAGATCCTCCAGGGTCGCCCTGCTTCCTGACCTCAGCCCCAGCCGCCTTGCCGGGAGGCACTCGCTGCCTCACCCCCGGGCCTGGGACATTCTCCCCCAGCACTTCATGTGGCCTCAGGGCCAGGGCAGGAGGGCGTGGGCTGCGGTCCTGGCCTGGGGTCTAGACAGGGAGGTATGAGGTGCACGCCCCTGGGGGCAGCAAGGAAGGCTTTCTGGAAGGGGTGGCACCGGCCTGGCACCTGGAGGGGTCTTGGGGCAGCATCCTAGGTACTCGGAATGGGACATGCAGGAGCAGCTGGGGGTTGGGGAGGTGGATCCCAGGGTGGTCTTTTATTCTGTTAATGGGCGAGGTCTCACTATGTTGCCGAGGCTGTTCTTAAACTCCTGGGTGCAAGTAACCTCCTGCCTCGGGTGGCTGGGACGACAGGCACCTGCCACCACTCCTGGCTCCTGGCGGCAGGCTCCCGGCTTAGGCCGGTGGTCAGTTTCAGGGGCTTTTGGAGATACTGGCCGAGATGGGCGCCACGGTCTGCCCTGGGCACTGTGGACATTGGGCCGGGTCGTTCTCTGGGGTGGGGCCGTCCTGGGCACTGCAGGTGCTGAGCAGTGTTCCTGGCCCCCACCCCCTCCATGCCAAGAACATCCTCTAGTCGCAACAACGACAGATGTCCCTGGACATGGACCACCGTCCCCTGGAGGCAGAAACACCCAGTTGGGAAGTATTGGCCCAGGGGAGTGGTTTCTTTGCAGTGACCTCTACTCAGAGCCAGCCAGTCCTGACAGGCGTGGAAGGGACTGTCCCCACACCTGGTCTCCCTTGGTTTCTGAGCTGCTGGTGGTTGTGCTTTCTGAGCCTTGGGCCCCACCCTCTGGGTAGAGCTTTCACACTAGGAGAGGAAGTCGGAGAACGTTTAGGGATTGGTTTTCCAGGTCAAGCTCTTGGCACTTGTGCCCTTTCTGACCCCGCCTGCCACACGCGGTGGCCGGAGTCCCCTCAGCTGCGTGGGCCACCCCTCCTGCTCGGGGGGAGCCAGCCAAGAGATGCCCCTGGCCATGTCGAGTGCTCAGGGATGGGCAGGAGGCCCTGGTGTCTTTGGGGTCAGCGTCCCAGAGTTGACCTGTCACTCCCATCCCAGCTGGGGACCTTGGGAAGCCACCTAAACCCAAGGCCCAGTTGTCACAGTGGGAAGGGGCCTTGTAACACCTTCCTGGCCAGGCTGTTGGAAGGTCCTGGTTCGGCCTCTGGCGGGAGGCAGGTGGTCGGTGGGTTGGTGCAGGCGGAGGCCTGGGCCGCGCGGTGGGGTGGGGAGCACGGCTGGGGCGTCAGGGAGCCACTGTCAGGATTGCCTCTGGCCTGGGGGCGTTCGGAAGCGCTGGGGGTGTGAGGGAAGAGGCTCACTGACACCGCCGTGTCCCTGCCGTCTGCCCCTGCTCCTGTGTCCGTCTCGGGAGGCTCAGCTTCTGAGCTACCAAGTGGCCTAGACCCGCTACCATGACTGTTTTTTTTAACCCTGTTGAGAAAAATGTTTTATTGTAGCAAAATATACATAAAACTTTCCATCTTATCCATCTTTAAATGCACAGCTCAGTGGCATTAAGCGCATTTACACTGTTGTGCAACCACCACCGCCCTCCATCTCCAGAACTTTCTCATCTTCCCAAACTGACACTCTGTCCCCATGAAACACTCACTCCCCACCCCCTCCCCAGCCCCTGGCACCCACCATCCTACTTCCTGTCTCTGTGGATCAGACGACTCTAGGGACCTCCTGTGAGTGGAATCACACAGGATGTGTCCTTCTGTGTTTGGCGTCTGCCTGAGCACGATGTCCTCAAGGTCCATCCATGCTGTGGCCTGTGTCAGAGCCTCGTCCCTTTATAAGGTTGGGTAATATTCCAGGCATATGGGCGAACCACACATCCATGGCCTCGGGGTTGCTCCCACCTTTTGGCTACTGTGACCAGTTCTGTCATCCGGAGCCGGATTGTGATGGCACGCCCAAACCTTAGCTGTGTTGAGCAGAAAGA